TCAAATTGTCATAATAAATGTGGCATCTTTATCTTGTCCCCTTTAATAAGATCCTGCTAGTTTTTATTGGTATAACACTACACTGATTGATATACCTGATCTCCTCCTGTCTATTCTTACTAGAATGTAGGAAGAGTAGAATCTGAGAGTAACTCTAAAGGCCCTGCTACTTTGCTTATATCTAGGCACATAAATGATTATGTGGCTTCTGGGTTTTTTTTGCATACTGTTGTTGCCTACATGCACACAGAACACTATATTCTCTCCAGTTCTAGTTACAAATTCTGTTTGCCAAGGACTTAAGATCTGCTACAGTCATCCAAAAGGCATGATGCTGTGTTTTTTCTCAGTTTGCTTACAACACACTTTGTTCTCTGGGTATACATTATGAAATAATTCCCTAGCACCACTACCTCTTTCTAAATCCCTCTAATTTCTTATTGTTTCCTTACAGCATCCAGTGACACGAATCAACTGATTCCCTATTCTTATCACAGTTCCCATTTACATTACTCCATCCTTCATCAGATCAATAAGTATTGTATTTGGAACTGGTTGTTATACCTCAGAAACAAGCAACGTTTTGCTCTTAGTGACCTTGCCCCTCTCTCTTTCCCCTTCCTACTTGTATCCAGGCATCCTTTTGTCCAAGAGTCTTGCCATTAGGACATTTCAACATGGTAACCTCAGTAAAGGACTTATTGATAAGTCTCACTGTCCCCAGTCTACTGAGCTGGCCCTTGAGATTTCAAATTCAGGTCTATCAGTTATTTGAGATTCAGCCAGCTGGAATGAATGAATGAAGCTCCTCATTAGGGAATGAATACATCTGAAGCAAGGTGTGTAGCACAACCTGCATTCTGTTGTCACTAAAATGAAACCAAGACCACTTTCTCACCAGCAATTAAAACACTTGCCAACGCCCCCCCCCAAATAACTCTGTGATCAAAACCCTGTCTCTTGATATTAGTACTCTCAGACAATTCAGAAATGGGTTCTTTTGATGAACCTCAGGACACTCTTATGCTGCTTATGAGACTCGTTTTTGGAATAATGAAGGAGGGGAAGTTTCCTGACTTAAGATGGACTCAAAATAGAAATTTACCAGGAAATTACTACAGTTAGAATTGTCCATTGCCTGTGACTACCAGTACGTAGCAGACTAAAGTCTATTTGCTATTCCATTTAGTTTTTATACTGCATCATAATGGTATCTGAGAGCTCCAGTTCCCATGGCAAATTTCCTAAATACGGCATCCAATCATTTGCTGCTCACTTACCATTCACTAGGTCCTGTGTATTTAAATTTCTGTGAGTTTGTATAATTATCACCTCAACAGTACAATCGATTCGCCCGCGTGCTCCAAATCTTTCCAGACAATCTGTATCAACAACATTAGAGTTACAGTATTTGTTTTAATTACGTTGAGAGACAAACACTTAACACAGAGTGTTTCAGATTGCAACATGCTCAGTAATAATGAGCCTTTAAAAAGGCTAAAGTGAATACAATGAAAAATGAGAATTTGAAATATATCCTAAATTTTTTACTCTTTTATAACTGATTGTTTACTTTTCCTTCAGAGAGACATTAAAAAGAAAATCTAAAGGCAGTGATTGTACAAGTCCTGCTGTGAATAGTCCTGGTTCAAAAAGAGATGCACACTTCTGTGCAGTCTGCAGTGATTATGCTTCAGGATATCACTATGGCGTTTGGTCTTGTGAAGGATGTAAAGCATTCTTTAAAAGAAGTATCCAAGGTAGGAAAAATAGTTTTGGAAGCCTTTGCTTCAAAAGGTGGTGTCTTTTATGATCATATACATAAGTTGCAATTATTGTACAGTAGTATAACATGATTTGAATACTTCATCTTATGGTCGTTTGTTTGTTGGCATTGGGAAGGGAATGGACACTTGATCTCTTTAGGGAAGGATACAAAATATGTTGCCATTTAAAACCCTGGAGCAGACATATCAGAGAAATGGCACCTCAGACTCTTACAGATTACTTTGCCTTCAGAAATGCAAAGTTGGTATAATAATTGTGGCTGATAAAAGGTAGAGATAGTGGGTATAGGGTGGAAGGATAAAAAATAACTAAAAGTTTCACTGATATAAATAATTTAACTCTGAAGAACCTCACTCATACTAGGTAAAATCTAAAAGTTATTTTCATGGAGTCACATTGCAGCTCTTCTTAACTAGGATCAAGATAAACCTCACCTTCTAATCTTTGAAAGCCTTACTGCAAAGTTTTAGTTCTCAAATACTGGAACTCAATGCAAACCCACTGATGACTGTAGGTACATAATGTATTCTCTCCTTGCCTACTGTTACAATCTGTGGGGTGAAATAGTGGCTTCTGCATCCTTTGGTTGGGGCTTTGGCCCACTGGACACCAGTAAGCTTCAATAACCTCTCCCTTGGCCTGCTCAGAGTCTTCTCTGTGCTCTTTCAATTAGATCTAGGCCAGACTCTCACCCTGTAATATCTGGGGTATGAAAAGGCAGGCCTCAGTAGTTTCTCTGCTCATACTTCTTTTCCCCTTTTGCAATGGTATTTAGTGATGTGGAAGTACTTGCATGAGTCCTGTGTAACAGGGTAAATTTCACCCACTGAATAGCAATTTGTACAAAAGTGGTTTGCCTTTTCAAGATAGCATATGTACTGTGCATGCAACATAACAATGACTGTCAAATCTGCATGTAGTGTGAAATCAGGAAAATCAAACCTAAAATAATAAATGAGACTTTTGTGTACATATTCAGTAAATTGGTCTTGTAGTATTATGTCCAGGAAAAATGTTAACCTGATTATATGCTTTGCTCACCTACACTTTAGCATTGAACAGTATACGTGTTTTAGTTCATTGAACATTTTAATTCACCTAGGCAGATAACATTTGGTCTTAATCCAGAGGTTCTATAAATAAAAAAATGGCCTTCACTACACAAAACACATTTTACACTCTGCATCCAAGCTAGTTCAGGTTGTTGCTTAACTTCCCCACCCCAAAATCCTGAAGTTTCCTTTAGGCTACCTAGCTGACTTTGTGGGAGCTGTATTAAATAAAGTTATCCCTTTTGACAATCACCATAATACTTTGCAATAGCCAATGTGAATTAAATTATCTGTAGTTCTTACTATTTTTTTTAGTATTTAAATGCCTCTACCTACTGCATAAAATACTGTGGGATTACAGTTATTTTCTGAAGTACAGTTACACACTGATTTGTTGTAACTACAATCAAACTTGAAGTAAAAGCACTGTATTCAAAAATTAAAACTATGATTTCTTCATGAGAATCTTTATGATTTGAGTAATTGTCAAGTTTTTACAAAGCAAATAGTGAAAACATAATTTTACTAGACACAGAGAAAGAAGAAGGTTGTTACCTACCTGGATCCCAATGCTTACTCGAAGAAAAATTCTTATTGAGGTCAATGGGATCTGAACACAGCAAGTTCCTTACAGTTTAGTCAATCTGAGGATGGCTTAATGTGCACTGTAGCACTTCCCCTTTAGGGGATTCTAGGGACATCAGCAGTTAGTTAGTCCCAGGCAAAATGGATTGATTTGAACTCTGCTGCCAGTAAGCCAGAGATGGCAGGCAGAAGATGCCTGAGCAGGATGGATCCCCCAGTATTTAAAGGCTTTGGGGGCAAAATTTTAACTTGTTACCATGGCAGTTGGTACAAAGTATGAACCCCTCTTACACGAGAGAAGAATCATGGGGAAAACCCTGATCACCACGCTAAGGATGTACATAGCTATGCTGGCATCGCCCTCTAGTGTAGACGCAGCCAACACCAACAGGAGTTCCTACCCTGTTGGTGTAGGAACACCATCTCTTTGATCAACATTAGCTTTGCCAACAGAAGCACTCTTTCATCAACATAGCTGCATCTACACTGAGGGGTTTTGTAGGCATAACTATGACAGTCAGGGATGTGGTTTCTTCACACCCTGATTGATGCATATATGCTGATATAACTGTTCAATGTTGACCAAGCCTGAGTTTTCCTTCCCTCAGATCAGTGGAGGCTGATTTGACCCTAAGCAATTTGAGAAATCCCTTAACTCTTTTGTTATCATGTTGTACTGCACAGATGGAAATTAGTATCTTTTGCCCTGAGCAACATTAATTTGCTTGCTATCAGATATTTGTAGTATCTTATGGTCCAGTTCTGCTTCCACTGAAGTCAGTGGGAGTTTTGCAACATAATTTTGTTTTTCTTTGGGAGCATATGTTAGTATTGCGGCTTTGGCTTGAGGCCTTTCACTTTTCTTCATAATATACCTTCTGTTCTGGTGTTGACAGATCTTTACAATTGTACAGTTTTGTATTGTTAGTTGGCACAGCAGCATGCCAGATAGGAGAGTTATGTTCTTTATGGGCAAGGAAACAAAAACAAAACCCCTGGTACTTCCCTGTTGAACTCTCAGTCTATATGGAGTTTATAGTTGTAGTAGATTAGGGGTGGATGCCACAAAAGGCAAATCATTTTAAGGTTTTAGCTTGCACAGAAAATGTGGAGGAAGTTTTTTAAAAGTAAATTTCAACATTATTTGGCACCTCTGACCCTCAATTAGAAAAGTGGTGCTCAGGAATATCTACAGTTCAGCTAAATGTCTCTTTAGCTGACCAGTTTTAGGGCTAAATTCTGTCTGCATAGGAGTCAATGGCAGTTATGTATGCATGCAACTGAGGGTAGAAGTTGTTCCATTAAAGAATATGGGGCCTATGTTCTCCTTCCTTACACAATACAAAGGGGAGAAAAGCAGTAGGAATTAAGGCAAAAAAATGCCCTAAATCTGCAGAATAGATGGAGTGACTTTATCACAGTGTCAGTAGACTTGCGCCCCCCCCCCCCACTCCCAAGCCTGCAGATAGTCCTTCATACCTATTCAGTATGTGAATGATTCCTTAAAGATTATTATTATTATTATTTTTTTAAGTGGAGCAGTGATAGATGAATGGTTAAAACTACAAACTAGTCACTCTTTGTGGCATGCTTTCTCCATCCTCATGCACATTTCTAAGTAGAAATCCGAATGGGAATTAATGTTACTAAAAGAAGTTATAACCCTCTATGTGACTCCTAACACACACTTGCTGTGTGAGCCTCCAATGGCAGCATGACTTCTGAAGGGGAGAGAGGGTTTTTTTTTCCCCTCTTTAATTTCAGATTGTTTATTTTGCATTTGAAAGGACTTGGTATGTAATCAATTTCACTGATTCCTCTGTATAGTCAGATTCATATAAACAACAGGGGAAGCTCTCTATCATATCTTAACAGGAAAAAGAAAAGAATTTAAAACAGAAAACGTGATTTGTAAAACCACAAAAATTGAACAGTATTGAAACTATTTTAAAATAATTTTTAAACAGACAATATTTCAGGTTGACTATCTCTTTAAATACTATTGGTGAGGTTTATGCCTCTGCTTCAGGCCTTTTGTGCCAGGTAAAGTGGTTCTAAAAGCTCTGATTCTGACCAAGAGAGAATTGTTCTGGTGTGGGCACTGCAGAAGACAGCCGTATGCTGTCCACGTACCCCTTTTTCAAGACATTTAGCAAAGCAGGTATGAATAGCATGTTGGGGTAGAGATGGGGTGGAAGAGAAACGTTAGGAGCTGAAACTGCAGCATGTAGTGCAGAGGAGACTATGGGCAGCACAATTTCGCATATGCAGGAAGATACAGACTGCTGTAACTTAGACTGTCTCTCAGGATTGTCTAAATTTCAGGAGTTGCTCTGGACCTGTGTTCCCTCTAAGCTGTGCAGTTGGGCGGCCGCCAAAGAGTGATTAAAGTGCTTCGCACTTGATTAGGAGAGCCGTGCACATCTGGCTGTGTGTGTTCAGGTGCCACCCCTGCTTTGCAGCCATATTGTTCCTGGGATACTTCTGCTGGCTGTGCAGAGTGGGGAGGCAGGGAAGAAGGGAGGTGCTGATGTCAGGGTGTCCCCCTTCTCCTGCCCACCACATCTTCACAGAGCAGGGGAGAGGGGACAGCCTGGCTCAGGACTCAGAGCAGGAGAGAGCTGCCTTCCAGGTGAATGAGTGAGTGTCTTAAAGAGACGGTGCACAGTCTCTGAGACTTCCCCAGCAGCCAGCTCTCTCTCTCTTCTCCCCTCCCCCCTACCCATGTACCCCATCTCTGCAGGGGGAGGGGGAAAGACAGGGTTCAGAACAGCAGGAGAGCTTTCAGTGAGTGCCTTAAAGAGAGAGTGCGTGGCATCTCTCAGAAACTTCCCCAGCAGCCAGCACACATACTATTTCTGTGTCTCGCACACATGCTCTCTCACTCACTCACTTTCACACTCACCTCCCAACACATACAAGTATTATTTTTGTTGTTACTTCTTGGTATTTCCTTCTGCAATGCACATATATTCTTTGTAATTTTATTCTTTCAAAGTGCTGTTATTTTAGTTTTTTGACTGGTCTATGCATTTCGTCATTTTTATTTCTCTCGTACATTTACATTTAATTATTTGAGTAGTGAGTTCTAAAATGCCTAACCTGTCCTGGCTGGAGTATCCCTATGGTAACTTTTTAAAAATATATATTATATCTAGGTTTTTTGTTTCTACTGATGGTGCACATCTGGACATACCTCGGTGCACATGACAAAATTTATTCCACACATTGATTGGAAAAAATTAGAGGGAACATTGCTCTGGACCCTGGTGCAACCTAAAATCAGGAGGCAACAAAGGTGGCTTAAAGCCACCTTATAACCCTTTTGCCCAGGTTGAACTGCTTTTTTGTCAGTCACACCTGCCAGTAAGACATTAGACAAACTGTAACCTGATGTTTTTTAAGCACTGTAGGTTGAAAAATTCAAGGTTGGAAAATATTTTAATTTTACAAGAAAATGTTCACAGTAGCTCAGTTAAAATAGTTACCCTTGGGAAAAGAACTCCTGAACTGCTTGTTCATGAACCAAGAACATAAAATCTTCTGTTATTTTTTGATGGATCTATTAATTTTACAGCAATTAAAAATATAATTCCTCTCCCCCCCCCAAATATATGAGAGAAGACTGATAAAAAACTGTAACTGATAGAGAATATTTTGCATCCATGGCTAATTTCTGCAAGGGAAATGTACAGTATTTTACGGGAAGTGACTTGGTTGTATTTAATTAATAAAATAATAGTCTACTCCAGTACACTAGTGAAACCCCTTAGGCAAAATTCTCTGCTGCTGAAACTCCACTGAAACAAGTGGCATTGTGCCAGCAAAACATGCACTGATAATGAAAATCTGCTTTATAGAATACCTAGAATCAGAATGTTTGAGGTTTCATACAGCATGGAAATTAGGCACTTTGGGTAAAATTTCCAAAAGCATTTACGCCCAATTTTCAAAAGTGACTTAGACACTTAGGAGCCTACGTCCCATTGATTTTTCTAAGACTTAAGAGCTGAAGTGACGTAGGCACTTTTGAAAAAATTACTCTTTGGTCCTGATTCAGGTAAGTACTTAACACATTAAGTAGAAACACATGCTTAATTTTCATTGATGTAAAAGCTTAAGTTTTTTCCAGAATCAGTGGCCATATTTATTGCATTCTATAATGATGTTGAATACCTTTGCTTTGTATATATTTTGCTCTAACAGTAGTATTCAGCATTATTTCAGCTACAAAATGTTTTTCAAGTTACCTAACAGAAGAAATTTAACATATTGCTTGAGATTTACATTTTTTTTCTTTATATCCTGTTGCAGGACACAATGATTACATCTGTCCAGCTACCAATCAATGCACAATAGATAAAAATAGGCGTAAAAGCTGTCAGGCATGTAGACTACGGAAATGCTGTGAAGTAGGAATGATGAAATGTGGTGAGTTTTTATCCCCTTGTCTTTTCTATACAACTTCTAAGTTATGCTTAGGTCTAAAAAAAGGCATGGCAGGTAACTAAAGTAAGACTTAAATTTACACGTAGGAGGGAAATCACTGATTTTCAGGAGAAAGAGTCACTCCAGTTAGTATTCATTTTGAGAAGAAAAATAGTAGGAAGCATTAAGGCTCCAGTCCTGCAACGTGTAGCATGCAGGAAGACTGCTTTACTTTTGCAGACGCAACCTGAAGGCAGTTCACCTGGATGTTACACCTTGCAGGATTAGGTCCTAAGGCAATGTCTATGTGACAGGTTGGATCATAGAACCCCCCTTGGGAGCTGCCACCTGATGTGCCAAGACTACTTCTGCCCCTGCTTTCCTGCCCTGTCAGCTTTGGACTTCAGTGCCCTGCCTGGTTTGAGCCAGACTCGCTAGCCTGCTGCAAACCCAGCCCCAGGTCTGAATCACGTCCCCTAACAGCTATAGGCTTACCTGAAAGCAGGTTACAGAAGTGTTCTTGTCTTTAACACTCAGATGCCCAACTCCCAATTGGGTCTAAACCCAAATAAATCCATTTTACCCTGTATAAAGCTTATACAGGGTAAACTCGTAAATTGTTTGCCCTCTATAACACTGATAGAGAGAGATGCACAGCTGTTTGCCCACCCAGTTATTGACACATACACCTCTACCCCGATATAACGCTGTCCTCGGGAACCAAAAAAAAATCCTACTGCGTTAGAGGTGAAACCACGTTATATCAAACTTGCTTTGATCCACCGAAGTGCACAGCCCCGCCCCCCCCCCCCGAGCGCTGCTTTACCGCGTTCTATCCGAATTAGTGTTACATCGGGGTAGAGGTATACTCCGAGTTAATTAATAAGTAAAAAGTGATTTTATTAAATACAGAAAGTAGGATTTAAGTGGTTCCAAGTAGTAACAGAAAGAACAAAGTAAATTACCAAATAAAATAAAACATGCAAATCTATGTCTAATCAAACTGAATACAGATAATCTCACCCATAGAGATGCTTCAGTAAGTTTTTTTCCTCAGACTGGACACCTTCCAGGCCTGGGCACAATTCTTTCCCCTGGTACAGCTCTTGTTGCAGCTCAGGTGGTAGCTAGGGGATTCTTCATGATGGCTCTCCCTCTTTGTTCCGTTCCACCCCTTTATATATCTTTTGCATAAGGCGGGAATCCTTTGTCCTTCTGGGTTCCTACCCCTCCTCACTGGAAAAGCACCAGGTTAAAGATGGATTCCAGTTCAGGTGACATGATCACATATTACTGTAAGACCCCAAGCCTTCATTCCTCCCAGCCTGAGTCACAGGAATGCTTGCCTGCAAATAGAGCCATCCAGTCAATTGTCCTGGTTGTTGGGAGCCATCAAGATTCCAACCCACCATTAATTGCCCACTCTTTACATAATTACAATAGGCCCTCAGAGTTATATTTCATATTTCTAGTTTTAGATAAGAGTGATACATTTATAGAAATAGGATGAACACACTCAGTAGATTAAAAGCTTTGTAATGATACCTTACAAGAGACCTTTTGCATGAAGCATATTCCAGTTACATTAGCATATTTTCATAAAATCATATAGAGTGCAATGTCACAGTCTACACTTAAAAGCTTACAAAGACACAGTTGTGGTGATAGAACTGTGCCACTGTAAGAGTGCTCATGTAGCTGTGTTGTGCCGATGGGAGAGAGCTGTCTCCTCAACATCATAAAACCAGCTCAATGAGCAATAATATCTATGTTGGCAGGAGAGCATCTCCTTCTGACACAGCATTGTACACACAAGCGGTTATGTCAGCAAAGTAATGCACATTGGAAAAAATCTGAACTATACATACAAAATAATGGGATCTAAATTAGTTGTTACTAGTTAAGAAAGATTTTAGAGTCATTGTGGATAGTTCTCTGAAAACATCTGCTCGCGACCATCAAAAAAGCTAACAATATTAGGAACCATTAGGAAGGGAGAGGTAATAAAACAGGTTCAGAGAAGGGCAACATAAATGAGTAGGGGTATGGAACCACACAAGGAAAGATTAAAAGAGACACTGTTCATCTTAGAAAAGAGATGACTAAGAGGGGTATGATAGAGATCTATAAAATCACTATTCACTTTCTCTCATGCCATTCATGAACTGTTGCTGCCTATGTGAAGGGGTAAATAAGTTTAACACAAACATAAGGAAGTACTTCTTCGCACAGCACACGATCAATATGTGGAACTCATTGCCCAGGGGATATTGCGAAGTCCAAAAGTATAACTGGTCTCAAAAAAGAATTAAGTAAGTTCATGTAGGATATGTTCATCAATGGCTGTTAGCCAAGATGATGCCTCATGCTCCAGGTGTCCCTAACCCTCCCAACTGCCAGAAGTAGGGACTGGATGACGGGAGATGGATCACTCAAAATTACCCTGTTCTGTTCATTTCCTCTGAAGCATCTGGCAATGGCCACTGTCGGAGACAGGATACTGGCCTAGATCAACCATTGCTGATTGTCTAAGCTGAGGGAAATATAAAATGTAAATAATGATAATAGGGTAGTTGCTTTAATCTGGTTCTCCTGAAGTAAGCCCCCCAATCCTGCAAATGTGTGCATATCTTAACTTTATGTACTGGGTAACATGTTCAGACGTGTCTGCCCCATTTTCAGAATTGATTTAGACACTTAGGGTGCAATTCACAAAGGGGGTTTAGGTGTCCAGTGGTCAAAAGTCAATATTTAGCTGTCACTGACATTCACAAACCCATGCTCAGTTGCTGCCTAACTCTGTAGGCACTTAAAATCCCTAGGCACCTAAGTTTCCACCATTAAAGTCCCCAGACACCTAAATTTCATCAGCTGGGCATGTGCACAGCCGCCAAAGTCCTGTCACTGCCCAGTGCTTGGCACCTATGGGTATGTCTGCACTTTGAACTGGGGGTGTGATTCCCAACTCGAGGAGGCGCATGAGCAGTGCAAGTGGCAGGAGGGGCTAACTGCCTCCAGCGTAAGCCCATCAAAGACACTAAGTACATACTTGGGGCAGCTAGGCCCGCCCACCGCTCACACTGCTGGGCTGCAATCTCCTTTGAGAGTGCTAGCCCAATGACAGCTAGCATTAATGTGGATCCTCGAGTTGGCAATCAAACCCTCAGCTTGATTTACCCTAATTTAAACCTAAGCCCCACTGGGATTCATAAACTAGACCTTTCCCCGCCTATCGTGCCCTTGAGGGAGGAGGATGAGCGGTGTTCCTTTTTATGAACTTTTGCCCAATGGATAGAGCACTCACTCAGGATATGGGAGGCTTGGATTCAATTCCCACCTTGATAAGGGATTAGAACCTCGCACATCCCATTGGCTATAGAGTCACTTGCTTGTGGAACCAGTGAATATTTAATTTATACAGTAGAAGAACTCCAACAGTAGAGATGGGGAGAGAGCTGACCCACAATACCCTGTAGACAGGACACACTCTTGGGAGGTGGGAGACCCAAGTTCAAATCCTTACTCCACATCTGGTAGAGGGGGGAATTGACCCCTTGTCTCCCACATCCTGGCTAAGTACTCTAACCACTAGGCTAAAGAGTCACAAGGTGTCTCTTGTTTCAGAGGATTAGTCGTGTTAGTCTGTTCAATTCAATCAAGGTGGAAGCGGCCTATTCCCAACAGTTGACAAGAAGGGGTGAATATCAGAGGGAAAATTACTTTTTGTAGTGACCCAGCCACTCCCAGTCTTTATTCAGGCATAATTTGATGGTGTCAAGTTTGCAAATTAATTCCAGTTCTGCAGTTTCTCGTTGAAGTCTGTTTTTGAAGTTTTTTTTGTTGAAGAATGGCCGACTAAAAAGTAATTTTCCCTCTGTTGATATTCACACTTTCTTGTCAACTGTTGGGAATGGGCGGCATCCACCTTGATTGAACTGTCCTCGTTAGCACTGACCCTCCACTTGGTAAGGCAACTCCCATCTTTTCATGTGCTGTAATATCTAAACTGCCTACTGTATTTTTCACTCCATGCATCTGATGAAGTGGGGAAGTGGGTTTTAGCCCACGAAAGCTTATGCCCAAACAAATGTGTTGGTCTCTAAGGTGCCACAAGCTCTCATGAATCTCACCCTTAGGTCCAGATCATTAGGTGACTTAAATAACTTTAAAATTCTGGTCTTTAGGAGCCTAACTCCCATTGACTTTCACTGAGTCTTAGGTGCCTAAATGCCTAATTTCATTTTGAAAATGCAATTTAGGGTCCTAAGTCACTTAGCCACTTCTGCAAATTTTACTCACTGAGTAGTCAGTGACTTTGATGGGACTATTCACAATCCATAAAGTTAAGCAAGTGTAAGTCTTTGCAGGAATGGGACCTAAATGAGCTGCAGTATCTGAGTTTCAAAAATTGCAGGAGAATGGTTTTTAAAAGTGACCAAAAAGTGTTCTAATTGTGCTGAAAAAAGAAATCTCTAAAACACTTCTTTAAGTTCTCTGGGCAGAGACTATTTTGTTTTGTGTTTGTACAGTGCCTAGCACAATGGGGTGTTGATACATGACTGGGCATGATCGTAATTACTACTACTGCTGATCTAAATCTTGGATTGACACTGCCCATTTATCTTCCTAAATTTATAGAACTGGAATTTTTACTGTTTTCTCCCAAATATACTCATGTTCTAATAACATTCAATGTAGACTAAAACTGCTCCTTAAAAATGCTTAAATATGAGAATTTTAAAGACAAATAAATATCAGTGTTTTTTAAAATAGTTACATTGAAATCAGATCAGTTTCCTCAAATGAAATTCATGAGAACTCTGTCTAGTTCAGTTTTTTGGAAAATTCATAGATTCTAGGACTGGAAAGGACCTCGAGAGGTCATCGAGTCCAGTCCCCTGCCCTCATGGCAGGACCAAATACTGTCTAGACCATCCCTGATAGACATTTATCTAACCTACTCTTAAATATCTCCAGAGATGGAGATTGCACAACCTCCCTAG